AAATTTTGTTTTCTAAAAACTTCAATTTATGCACTTTTGATAATAGTGAAAATTAATTTTTAAAATAGTAATATGCCTTAGTGTTATTAAATATATGATATTTTAAATGATGAAATATTTCGAAGGTAATGAAAATGATTCCTTTGTAGATGAACTAATAAGATATTCAAAATAAGAAAAAAAAAAATTTATCATTATACAATTAAGATATGAAAGTAATATTATATATTATTATTCAATAAATTAAGCAAAAGATAAATGAAACTAATTAAATAAACCATAAATTTTCAAAAGTAAATTTTATAAAGGTTAATTATCAGATAAATTACTGCCTCAAAGATGTGAAACCATTATTAATTATTTGTATAACTTTTATTATAATGGATAATGGAAAGATGGTAGAAACTTAATATAAGGAAGGATTTCTTTTTGGTTTTAAGATGGGATAATATATTTATTAGAAGCCATCTCAATAAAATTGCTTCAGATTCTATATTAATATAATAAAGTGTAAAATGTTTAATTAGTGAAGATGGCTATTTAGAATCACCCAATTAAGAAATTCGTAAAATATGCCCAATAGATTTGCAAGATAGTGTTATAAAGAATACAAGTTAGAGCCTTGGAAATCGTTAATTCAAGGTTATATATTAGATACCAGTTTTTAACTACTCTCTAATCCATAAAGTAAAGTAAAAAAATTAGAATTTATACATTTTGGGATTTAATTTGAGATAAATGTCTCAGATTTTAATTTTTATATACAGTGACGATAAAATTTGCAAAGTAAGTTACATTTTCTGGAATAAATTTTGTTATGATTATTTAGACCTAAACTTTTTATAAATAGTAACATTTTTTCAACTCATGGATTATGATAAAATTAATATTATTAAATAAAAATTATTTTTATTTTTGCAGCAATCTAAAAAAATATATTATTTATATATGGGTTAAACAAAAGATTTTAATTTAATTTTGAATATCATCTAAAACATTTATTTAAACCCTCCTCATTACTATTATGCCATAAAAAATAAAACTACAGAACAACAAATATCTATTATATTTTTTCTAAAGAATTTAAAAATATTTTTATTAAAGGGATTCGCTTGGCTTAGCTCTATTTTTAAATTTTTTAAAAGGTTATAGTATCAAAAATAACCTTTAAGCCCATTCAACTATTTAACAATCAAATTCGGTCTATAATAAAAATAATTAATTTAATATTTATTTCTATTAAAAATGTTTTAATACTTTATAATTGGATTTTTGTATTGTCTGACTTGTCAAGAGGTTTTTGTGTATGAATTTGATTCAAATAATGGATAGATAGAAGGTAATAATCATAAGTTAATAAATTTAGATTGGGTGTTTTCGAATTAATATAGTTGGACTTAATTTAGTTCTTGTATGGATTTTTAGCTGTTAGGAGGATTTAATATATTATAACGTGATTATATTAGTAGAATATTTTTAAATTTGGAATCCCATTATCGAATAAAAATCCAAATTGAATTTTTAATGTATATTATTTCATTTCCTTTAAGTGTCGATAGGATAGACTACTCGCCATTTAATATTTATTTAGACAGCTCAGAAATAAATAATTTCAATTTCCAAACTTCATTGGTGAGTTAATGTGGAGATCCTTCTTCTGATGACCTGGTCTAAGTTATGACCTTTGATATTCTCCATAAAAGAAAAACAGCATGGATTTAAATTCAATAAAATAACGTATAAGAACTTCTTAAAATAGTATTTACATTGGGGTATGAGGTATTTTAAACTAACTCTAGTCAAATGTGAATATTAGTGTGTTATATGCACTGAAGTCTGTTTAAAATGGAAACCTCATCAGTACATATTAACAGAAAAAACATTTTCTACCACAAATTAATTAATGCCTATAAATGAATTCAATCTATAGGTTAAACGAGAATGCGGACTTTGCTCAAGAGTATATTCTACATAAATTGGCTTTAAATCTTAATTACCCCCACATTAAGATGTATTGGTGATTTTTCATAATTATGATATTACAATTTTAAAAGTAAATTATAAAAATAGCATAAAAACTATCAGTCTATAGAACGGTATAGTAGAATTACTATTTTAAAATCATTTTGTTGAAGAATTTTAATTTATTGTATTTTATCAAAATTATAATTGTTGCCCAAACATAAGAGATTTGGAAATATATTACTCAGTAATAGAAGAAATATAATCTTAAATCCCAGAATGCATTTAATAATTTAATTCGTAATGTATAAATTGTTAAGAGGGTTGGATTATCAATCCGATTATAAAAAAATGTATTCCGTTTTGTGGAGATAACAAAATTTAAGGAAATGAAGAATGCGATGACGGTAATTTGTATCAGTTTGATGGATGTTTTTAATGTCAAATTGAATGCGTAAGAAATTGTGAAATTTGTAAATATGGAATTTGTTAGGGATGCAAACTCGGGTTTGAATTTAATATAGATTTTAAATGTATTCCGAAAAGTCAAGAAATGATAATATATTAACCTTAATGCACCGAATAAATTGAAAAGACATGCATATCTTGTTAAAAGGGTTGGATTATCAATACGATTATAAATAAATGCTTTCCATATTGCGGAGACAACTACATTTAAGGAAATGAAGAATGCGAAGACGGTAATTTGAATCAGTTTGATGGATGTTTTTAATGTCAAATTGAATGCGTAAGAAATTGTGAAATTTGTAAATATGGAATTTGTTAGGGATGCAAACTCGGATTTGAATTTAATATAGATTTTAAATGTATTCCGAAAATTCAAGATATGGAAATTTATTAACCATAATGCATATAACAGATAGATAACAAATGTATTTCTTGTTTAAAGGGTTGGATTATAAATACGATTATAAATAAATGCTTTCCGTTTTGCGGAGACAACTACATTTACGGAAATGAAGAATGCGATGACGGTAATTTGTATCAGTTTGATGGATGCTTTTAATGTCAAATTGAATGCGTAAGAAATTGTGAAATTTGTTAAAATGGAATTTGCAAAGAATGTTAATTTGGATATACGTTTAATGAAAATTTGAATTGTTTTCCATAAAACCCAGAAATGGAAATATATTAACCGTAATGTATCTAACAAATTAATAACAAATGCATAACTTGTTAGGATGGTTGGATTATCAATTCGATTATAAATAAATGCTTTCCATCTTGCGGAGACAACTATATTAACGGAAATGAATAATGCGATGACGGTAATTTTAATGAGTATGATGGATGTTTTTAATGTCAAATTGAATGTGTAAGAAATTGTGAAATTTGTTAAAATGGAATATGTTTAGAGTGTAAATTAGGATTTGAATTTGATGATAGTTTGAATTGTTTTGCAGAGAATAAAAATACGTAAATATATTAACCATAATGTACTTAAGAGATTGATAAGAAATGTATAACCTGCTAAAAGGGTTGGGTTGTTAATCCAATTTTAGAAAAATGCTCATCATTATGTGGAGATAAATAAATATAAGGAGATGAAGAATGCGATGACGGTAACTTTAAGCAGTACGACGGATGTTTTGAATGCAAATTCGAATGCATATAAAATTGTTAAGGTTGTAAAAATGGTATATGCTAAGAATGTAAAATCGGATTTGAATTTGATAAAGAGAATGAATAATGTTTACCTGTTTGTGGAGATGGATTATTAATACCATTAAGTTCTGAATTTTGTGATGATGGTAACAAAATACAAGGAGATGGTTGTTTCGATTGTATTTTCGAATGCGATTAATTTTGTTTAAACTGCGTTTATATTCATTGTTTTGAATGTCAAGAGGGGTTTTAACCGCTAAATGGTGTTTGTCATCCAATTTGCGGAGATTCGATTGTTTTGCCAGATTTCGAGGAGTGTGATGATGGTAATGATATAAGTGATGATGGATGTCATCTATGTAAAAGGGTTTGTGGTTTTGGATGTGAGATCTGTTAGTAGGGTAAATGCTTAATAAATTGCTCATAGACTTATGGATAAGGATATTATTATATTGATGAAATTTGTTAATCTAAATGTGGAGATAATATAGTAACAGTAGAAGAGGATTGTGATGACGGAAATAATATCTAATTTGATGGATGTTTTAATTGCCAATTTTCTTGTGAAGAAAATTGTTTAAATTGTTTGAAAGGGGAATGTATTCAATATAAACCAATATGTGGTAATGCTATTATAGAAGATTAAGAGATATGCGATGACGGAAATCAAAAACCCAATGATGGTTGCTTTAATTGTGAGATTGAATCTAATTGGATGTGCAAATAAATTGAAAATTAAATCATTTGTGATAGTCCTACTTAATTTATTCCTAATTACCTAAGCATTTCGAATAATAAGCAGTTGATTCTCTTTAATTTCTCTACTGAAATTAAAATCTAGACTGGATAAAATTTAACTTAGGCTATGATTTTATCATTTATGGATGACCAAATTGAATATAAATTGACAATTCTTGATAAGAAAGAGCCAATTGAAGATAAAGTTCAAGAAGTATTCTATTTAATTTAGATCGAAATATACGAAACACTTGATTCTTAACCAATCTTAAATATCAATTTAAACTCCACTATTCTTAATCGTCATAATGTTAGTTTAGAATAATTACAGTATTAGTTGAAACTATAAATTCCATAATATCTAGAACCAAAATAATTATAAGCAGCTTAAACTTTAGCAGCTATTAATTAATATTTTGCTTTTGGTTTATTATCAAGTGGAGGAATCAATTTGATTGTTGGCAATCTATAAATGTTTACTGAAATTTTGGATCTTTTTCAGCAATTTGCATACTTGAGGTATATTAATCTTTGCTTTCCAACAAATTTATTAATCTACTTTCAAATTTACGATTTACTAACAGTTTCTATAATTTCTGATTTCATTAATTTTCAATAAATTTAAGACTTATTGATTCCACCTCAAGAAATTTAACCCTAATTTGGAAATTTCTTATTATATAAATAAAACTCTGATTTGCTTTGCAACTTAACTGCATAATTTCTAGAACTTTTAGTTCTTTTACTGTTTTATATATCATAAAAACTAATTTATAAATTAGTTTTTTAATTGATTTTCTAAAGGAGATTTTTTTAATGCAAAGCTTGGTTGTTGAAAAAATTCAGTCTTAAATTTACTCAAAAATTATTTCAATTTTTATAAAAAAGAATTAGAAAATTATTACAATAATCAAAAAAATCTTCAAGTTAACTTTTAATAAGTATTATGATAATTAATGGGTGGGATATTAATTTTAAATGTTTCCTCTACTTAAAATCTCTTGAAAATTATTCATTAAGAAGTCTGATTTCAAGTTCACTTGCTGTTTTCATAATTTCTTCATATATATTCTTTTTACTTCAATAAATTTTCGAAAAAAAGTTACTTAATCTCAGAAAAAAGAAGGAAATTATTGAATAAAGATATGAAGCATTGAATTTATTAAGGTAGATTATTTTTTTATTTATTTTAATCTTTCTTTATGTATCTGAAATTATTCAGTTAGCATACTTATCAGCAAGCGCTTTAACTTCAATCTTTCTCATTATAAAAATGAGGAAGATTTTGGACAAAGATTAGCTAATTAAAATGATTCTACAAGAAGGAACAATACTTGTATTTATTATAAGCTCCATCATATATGTAAAAGATTTCGACTTAACTTTTTCAACAAAAACAAAAATTTCTATAGGATTTTTCCATATTGGTTGTTTTACATTTATGATGGCTTTTCAATATGTAAAAATGGTAAGGTCATTTATTGCTTAAATTTCCAAAATGTTTCCAAAAAAATAAAAAAATAAAAAGCTCATGACTGTTAATCTATTTCATATTTATTGATTTGGCAAATAATAAATGTATTTTTTTGTTAATTAAATCATTCTAATTTCATGAAAATGATGATTTTATATTTTGATTCATCATTTAATCCTTTTATCTTTTATTTAATACCTGTTAACTCTATATAAAGTAATTATCATAGAAATATATAATACAAATATTACTTTACAGTAATTAAGGAATAATTTATGTTATAATATGGTAGATGTTATCAATTAAAATTAATAAATTTTTTTGATAAATCTTTTGTTTTAATTTTATTCTTAAAAAATGGATAAAGATCAATTTACTTTTTTGCTTTTTATAAAGATAAATAATTATATATAATTTTTTTTTAATTGATGAATGAGGCTATAAATTTTTATTCTATCTAAAATAATATAGTGTTATTAGATTTTTTTCAAAATTAAATAAATATGAACTAATTATTTTTTAGAGGTTTTTTTTTCTGATTTACTTTTTCATAAAACACTTTAAGGGGTGGAAGTTTAATATTTTGTGATAACTATAAAAATAAGGATTTTTCGTTTTATTGATAATTGAAAGGACGATCATTTAAATTGAAATGATTTAGGCTTTTTATGCATATAAATTCAAAAAATTATAAATTTCCTCTTTCAAGTTACTTTTTAATTGGTACATTAGTAGCTCGATATGTTGATATTGATACATAATTTTATCATTAGAATACTAAAGCAGATGATTTTTTAATTTCTTTTTATTGCTAACTTATTATGTATCATTTTTGAATTTACAGAAACCAAATTAGGGTAATCTATTAAGTATTAGAAGAACATAGATATATTTTAAAATATATTAATTGATTTATTTTTTGCTCATTTTTATTGAGGATTATTAATAATCATTAGAGATTTTAAACCATTGTTAACCTCCAAATTATTTTATGAAATTAAGTGATTATGGCAATTTTTCTCTAAAAAAAAAGAATGTAATTTCTTAGAAAATAACTATTAGCCCACTTTTAGAATTATATTAAATTTAATCTTCAAATTTAATTTCTTTGATATTTCAACTTTTTCCAACTATTAGGAAGATCATCTTAATTATTTTAAGGTAGTATTCTTTAAAAATAATTTTATAAAGTTTAAATACAGAGATCTTTTTTTAGTTCTTTTTAGAACTATTAAAGAAAAATTAGCAAATCTATTATTATTATGAGAATAAAATTTTGAAAAGAAAAGAAAAGTTAATATTTAAAAATTTAAGATTTGTTAAATTAATTGTAAATATCACTGAATCGTATCTTATATAACTTTAATAATTATAATTTATTCTAAGTAATGTAGAAATTAAATCTAAATTTAGTTATCAGAAACATCATAATTATAATTGTTGAAATTTTAAAATGGAGTTTAATTGGTAGTGATATCAATTAATTGATAAAAGATGAAAATTGCATAGGTTGTTAAATATTTATACAATTTTCATAAATTCAGTTCAATTAAAGGTGCTCTACATAATGGACACAATTATTTAACCAATAACCATGATTATAGACACACTTAATGAAATTTATGATTGCAAGTTGTCTTAATGATTGGTAATAACTAAATTTAATTTTCCCAATCAATTTTTCCCATAACATCTAAACAAATAACACAAATTTCATCATTATTTTTTAATAACCAATTAGGTATTAGACATCTAGATCCAAATTTATGTTATAAATAAAGTAAAATTACAGATATGAAATAAATACAGTCATATAAAGTAACAAATAAAAAATCAGGTTACACATCATAAATATTAGTTGGATAACATTTTAAATAAATCTATTTAAAACTAAAGTAATACTTAAAACATCAATCCTGGAGACAAATAACCAAAAAGATATACAAAATTAAAATTCTCTTTGCTATTTAATCTAATGTTATGGATAATTTAGGGATAAAGGATTAGAGAATAGCTTAGTTAATATAAAAAATCTGAAGAACAATAATTATACAATATGACATTTAAAATAAATGCTAATATCAGAACAACTAATGTATTTTATATAAATTTACATAACTATGTGAATTTATTTATTGAAGGCCATCTTCTAAAAAACATATAAAAATTAAGCTTCAGTTCAAGAATTACTGTTATAGCAATACTCCAAAATACTATCAAAAATATATACATAAGTACAAGCATTACATAAATATTTGATGATTACTAAAATTTATTTAATTATTTACAGAATTTAATAGTAAGAATTATACAATAAATAGCATTTCCCGATACTTAAAAAATTAAGCTATTGTTGACATCTTTTGTTAGATAACATTTTTACTTAATAAAATTGCACTTTTTTATGCAAGATGTATTTTAAAAAGAAAATAGGAATAAAGAGTTATAAAATCCAAAACAAAAATGCAAAACACTCAAAAAATATTAATTCTAGTTCATAATCTTAATCTGAGTTGTTTGAAAGTGAATAAAAATTAATTAAGAAGTTGCATTGAGATTTTTATGTATTAGTCTAATTAAGAAAAATAGATATTTTTGCATTATTAATGGTATTATAAATATTGCTTACACCAACCTAAACTATAAATTCAGGAATGCAAAATTAATTTATTGATAAATTATTTTTTGTTATTTCTACTATATCACAACTTTTACAAGAACTTTAATTATAATTACATGTTACATATTGCTTATAATAAAATCATCAAAGTGCAATTAACTTTCAAATTTATAATCTAGTTCTTAATTATGATTCCAAATTTCAAAAACGACAGTACTTTATAAAAATTCAACTTTTATTTTTCCTTAATCAACATCTAAAGAAGAGAGAAATGATTCATTGTAATTTAAAATTTTCCAAACTCCTTCATAAGTACGATTTTCAAATTAGGAATACAATTCTGATTAAGATATAGCCTATTAAAGTGTTTCAGATAGTAAGAATAATAGAATCCAACAAAGTGATTAAGCTTTCCACATTTATTCCATAAAATTTATTATTATAAATAAACTTAAAGCCTGTAAAAAATAATTTTTTAATAAAAAATTAATTTTAAGTAATTTTTAAAGAATTTAAAGATCAAGACTTAATTTCAATTGAACCTATTATTTTTATCCTTATAAAAAAAAAATTTTAATTATTAATGTTTACTTATAATATATTCATTTTAGTTAAGCATATATTTATTATTCATTACAATTAAATATTAATATATTGTGAAATAAACTACTTCAATAATTAATATACAAATTCACTAATACATATTCGCCTGGAGTTATTTTATTTTAAAAATATATGATGATCCATTTTTCAACTATTTGAATCTTTTTTTATGTCATTAAATTTTAATATGTGAACTCTTTTAAAAATTTTTAAATCAGAAATCTAATTTGTTTCTGATAAATAAAAATATTAATTTATATTTATAATTACAACAAATTTGTAGGAAAATTAAATTTCATTTTCATTTAAGATTTTTTGTATAATGTAGGATACTTTTAAAATGATTGCAGTTTGCTCAATTTATTCTTTTGTTTTTATTAGATTTTGATATTGGATTGAATAAAATATATATAATTTCAGCAATTTAGAGAAAATAAGAAAAATATTTTATTTAATTTTTAATTGAAAAATCTTTTTCAGGAAAAAGGCTTTAAGAGTTTTAAACAACGTATTTCTATCATCATTTAAGAATAATGGAATAATTTTTTAATATAAATTATTTAATGGATATTTTTTGAAGTAATTAAAATAAAATTATTAATATAAATAAAATATTATCAGTTCTATTAATGATAAAATCTCTTAATTTTTAATTCTATCAAAATAAACTTCTCATAGTTTTTATAAATTAATAGTCACATTTCTTCACAATATTTTAACAAAACTTTTTGTATAAATAAAAATAAAAAAGTTTGTAAATAAAAGTAGAAAAATGATTGACCTATATTAAAGAAATTTAAGCTCTAAATGCTCAAAAATATAAGGTTGACAAATTACTTAATTTTAGATTAATTAAATGATTTAACAAACTTATTATTATAATTTTATATTTTAGAAATCATGTTCATTTAAAATGATCTGATTAAATTAATATTAAATAATATTAATTGATTATTGATTATTAATCATTAATCTGATTAAATTTTTAGTATTTTAAAGAAAGAATGCATATGAAGGATTTATAATAAGATAGATTTTATTATTTTTGAAATTAAGTTTGATTTGACATTCTAGTGGCCAAAAAAAATTAAACCTCTTTTAATTTTTCTAAATTTTTGGAAATAACTAACAATCGCTTAAATCCAAAATTTTAAATCATTATTTTTGATCAAGCTATGCAAAATAAGACATTTTCTTGAAGGTTGAAATAATTTTATCTAAGCAGCAGCACTCTCTTTAATTTCAAGAATACATATTGATTTTTTTTTTAAATAAGAATTATCAAAAATATTAATAATAATAATTTTAATTATTTTAGTTATTAGAGTTAAGGTGTTAAAATTATAGGCTTGAATGAATCTTTACAAAGTTCAGAATTGCTTATTTACAACTCTTTGACTTAAAATCAAAAAAAAAGAAAAGGTAATTTATTAACTTTCACTTTTTTTTGATATAGAAATCGTATGAGAATAACTTAAGGCAAAGAAAGAGTTAATAAAATCATAGTCTGTATTCCTCATAGAGAAATTTCAGTAAAACCTGGATCAAGACAATATTTCTAAATTGAAAAACATTATTCACTAAATTCATAGATAAAAGTTTTGCTTTCAAAAATACAGGATGATATTATTGTTTTTATGGTATTAATAATATCCAAATTATGACAAATACAAGAAAACAATTTTTCTTTAAATTTAGAATTAAATAAAATTAAATCCCATTTATTCTCATATCCTTTCCATTTATTTTAGTTATTTAAGTCAAATTATTTGGAGTTAGGATTACTGCTTTTTGATCATAGTCTATTCTTAAAATGGCTATATAAAGAATAAACATATACAAGAAGATCAAGAATATAATAGGATAGCAAATATGATTAAAAACTCTAGATAAATTTTTGCCTAAAGGAGTTTTTTTGAGCTTTTGACACTAAGCATAATCGATAAATTAGGCGTTTAATAATTTTGAGTAAGAATATCTAAGAATAGTCATCAAAATCAAAAGTTGGCTTCAAATAAAAAAAACATCGCTTTGATTTATTATAAGCATTTGTTATTTTTAAAAGATTGAATTTATAACAAATAATATTTTAAAGAAAATTGATCAATTTTATTTTTTAAATCAAATAATTTTATATAAAATAATTTTTTGTAATACCAAATGAAATTCTTTTCATATTTAATTAGATAATGAATTAAAATAATTGTAATATAGAAATATAGATTTAATTAGTTCATTTGCTTTTCTTTTATCTATGATTTATGAGCTAAAAATAAATATTAAATTAATTTTATATACATTTGTTATACCCGGTGTGGAATTATTATTTAATTTTTTTAAAATGTAAAGTACAACTAAATAAGAAGAATCTTTTTTACGAGGAGGTGGCTGCATTATGTAAAAATCAAATTACTTAAAACTAAAATTACAAAAAATAATTCATGATGACGATTATGATTTTTTTTCTAGATTCAGCGAATTTGTCAATATAATTTGTTCCAAGGCCTCTCTTTCAGCCAATCAATTTGAATCCCAAGAAATAATGATCGCCATATACTGGTTTACATTTTAAGAGGAAAAGATTTATAGACTCAACTAAAATTAATAGAGTGTTCAAAAATCTTATGATTTAATTTTAGATGGAATCAAATAATTGATAAAAAGTTGCTTAATCTATATTAGAACAGATTCTATTAAATGTTTATATATATTACAAATTACTACATCTCTATCAAAAATAATCTTTAGTTTTCATTAAATAAATGAATAGAGATTCATGAAATAAGATATTTAAGATTATTTATTTCCTAGAAATTTCTGATGAATTAAAAGAATAAATTGAAATAGAAAAGAATGATTTAATTTAAAATTAAATTGAGCTTTTTCTTTTCTTAACTAAAACTGCTAATGAATTAGCTCCAAGTAATTCTAATTAAAGAAATTAAATTCTAAAAGATAGAATTACCTCTTTAATAAAAAATGAATATAATGATTTAATTTAATCTTTGATAAAAGGGGCCCAATTAGTTGAGAAGTAAAATAATTTAAATTTCAAGCGAAAATAATATAAGGTCTATTATTATACAGATATTATAATATGGGAAATAATAAACTAGTTCAAAAATGAAAAATAAATTAATAAAGAAAAAGTACTTTCAGATTTAAAAGAGATTTATAATAATTTGGTTAAAAGTTCAAACAATTGGAATGATCATTATTGTTGGATTTATATGATGGCAAAGCTTTTAATTTATAACCCTTTAATTTATAAAAAAAATTAGCTCAGGCAGATTTATTACTTAATTTAAGAAAAGAATCAGTTAATTAGATTTGGAAAGAATACTTGTAAAAAAAAATTCTAATTAAAATGAATTATAGTAATGATTATGCTATCATCTTACTTAATCAACTCCAAAATAAAAAATTAAGTTAAAAGGATAAAATTATTTTATAAGAGTATTTTTAGGGATGGAAAAGCTTTCTATTATTTAAAGAATCTTTAATAGATGATAAAGAATAAAATTATACATTTGGATCATATTTAAAATGCAGACTAGCAATAGGTAGTGATGTTACAGATAAAAATGGACATATCGAAGTTATGGATAAAATATAAAAGTTTATTAGTATTTTCATTCCAAATAAATTAATAAATTTAATAAAATAAAATTACGAAAAATTTGGAGGTGTAATTGATAATTTGAGGATTGTTATGAGAAGCAAAAATATGAACTCACAGAAAAATTAAAATAATTTTCACAAGATTCTTAATAATTTATAAGAATCTTTCCAAAATACTCAAAGTATTATTAAAATTATTAAGCTAAATTTTAATTAGAGATGTATTAGAAAAATATAACATAAAGAAGATGGAGTAAAAGAATTTAATAATTTATAATAATTAATCTTTTTTATAAAAATTTTAGAGTAACTTTTATAATAATATATTTATGATTTATAAGAGAATAAGATTGAGGAAAAAAATGAATAAAACAAATAAGATGATTAAATTATTGAAATTTAAGCTTTTTATCAAGCTAGAATAAAATATATTTTTGAGGAAATTACTAATCTTAATAATCAAAAAAATAGTTTTTCTTAAATTTTAAATCTTTTTAATAAAAAATTTTAGGATTTTTAAAATCTTTCAATCAATTTAAGATAAGCTCTTAATTTTATAGTTTTTATTCAAAGTTAATAAAAGGAAATTTAAAAGCTATAAAAAAATTAAATTCAAAATATAAACCTATCCTACTGTTTATAAGAGTAGTTAAATGATGTCTCTTTATATTATGATAAAAAGGCGAAACACTATAAAAAGATTATGAAGAAACAATTTTGATCTTTAAGCAAATTATTATTATAAAGAATGAAATCGAAACTGCTTCTGAGATTGATGAAAATCTATTATAAATAAAAAAACAAATGGATGATAATTAAATAATCAAATATATCGATCAATTAAGATTTGAAATGCTAATGCAAAAATTAAAACTTCAAGTTATTAAGTAAACCTTTTAGGACATATTAAAACAAGCTAAACCATAAGAATTAATAAAATTTGAAGAAATTTTTAATATAGAGGAGTTTTTTATTGATATATTAATGAGGCATATTTTTATTCAAAAAAATTAAATTTCAGCCTCCACAAATCTTAAGATTTTGAATTTTAATTTAAATAATTTTGATTTAATTTTGAAGTTATTTTTTTTATTATTTTTCAGTAGAAAATGGTAATGTAATTTTAAGATTACCCAAAAAGAATAAGATTGAATCAAAGTCTGTAAAAGTAAAATATTACTGAGTTAAAAAGCATAGAATTATCTTAGGAGGACATTTAAAATAAGTTATTTAAATAAAAAGGTATAATAGAATATTTGATAATCAAACTCAAAATCTAAGAATAAATAAATGATTAAGAAAGGTTAGATTTAGAGCTGATAGAGAAGGATTTTGGAGAATTGTTTATAGAAGATCTTATATCTTTATAAACCTTTTCACATATGGATAAGATATAAAATATAATTTAAGGTTTAGAAGCTAACATAAATGAATCATTAAAATTAATTAATGATTAGCAGTTTAACTACTGGTAATTGAAAAATGAATCAGAAAAGTACAATCATTTATTAAGTTAATTAAAGCTAAAAGATTAATTTAAAAACCGTAATTAAGGCGATGAGCTTGTCATATAATATTTAAAAACACTAATTGAAGAAATTGAAAAAATTTCAAAAAAATTTTCTAATTCTTTAAATTAAAATATGGAGGATAAATAGATTTAAGAAATTTTAAAAATGATAATTAATGAATAGTTAGGATAATTATAAATTTTTATAAATAAATGCAATTATCAAGAAGAAGATTAAATCAAAGAATCAAATTAATTATCACCAAAAAGGATAGAAAATTAAGTACAAAAATATCAATAATGTCTTCTCGAAAGTGAAATTGAAGAGCAACTTTAGGAAAAATAAAGTTTGTAAGAAAATTATCTGAATAAAAAAAAAGATAAAACTTTAGGAATTAATTAATCTATAGTATATGACGGAAAAAATTAATTAAGATTTGAAATAAATGAAAAATCCAGAATAAATCTTTAAATAATTATTAAAGTTATAAAACTTTAGTAGATAAAAATAAAAGATGATTATAAATCTTTAGACTAGCTACTTTAAGAAATCAAAAATTTTTAAGTTTAACTTGATTTAATTTAAACATTAAAGAAAGAAACTTAAGAAAAAATTATTGGATAAATAACATAATTTTTTAAAAATTTTATCAAAATATTTGAAGACAAGTAATTGATACGGATTAATTTGAAATAACAGTTAAATGAAAATTTTTCTATGTATTTTAATAGAATTTAGACATAAATATAATATGTGGAGTCAAACATAAATGAAAATAACGATTTATAAAGTAATTTCTAATAAATAAATGCTTCTGATTTTCTTTTTAAATTAAAAGATAAAATTCGAGAACAACTTGTTGATAAAATTTAATTATAATAAGATAAAGAAATTGACTATTAGTTTTTAATATAAAAAATATCTATGATATACTAATTAGACAATTTTTAATAAGACATTTGTGAAGAGTCAAATGAAGAGCTAAATTTATTTGATACTTATTTACAAAATTATAAAGATTTTAAAAATAATCATGAATGGAAGATAAAATAAGGTTTAGTTTTAGGAATCAATTAGAATTCATCAAATTGCTACACAGATAGAATTATTTCATTTTGCTAAAAAGCGCTTATCCAACTATGGGCTTAAGAAAAAGATTAAAGAGTTAGAAATTTATTAAAAAATTAAGATCTAATAAGTTTACAAATCCAAATATTATAGCAGGATTGGATGACTTAGCATGATAGAATTGCTTGTGAGATGTAATAAATGTTAAGGAAAATAGATGATTTATAAGAATCAATAGTCCATGAAGCAAATCTTAATAAACGAGAACAATAGCTATAAGAATTAGATGAAACAACTTAAAATTTAGATGAATACCTTGAAAATATTAGTGAAATGGGGCAACAGCTTAAATTGATCACTGATTTCGTAAATCATATTAGAAAAGGATTAATTAGATTAGAGGGAAAAATTACATAGATGAAAGAATAACTAAATAGAATAGGTAATGACATTAAATTTCTGAGAGGAAAATCTGTTAAGTAACTACTTGAAATTAGAAAATGGAAAGTATTAAAAGAATCTTCTTAAAAAAATCTGAAATCAATATATATACCATTAAAAACTTAAAAAAACGTATAAAATAGTGCAAGTAATTAAAGTTATTTGATGAATTTAGAACAATATGATGATAAGAATGGTGAAATAAATGAATTTTTGTTAGAAGATAAAACAGTATTATTAATACATGGTATTGCTGGATCAGGTAAAAATACAACAGCTAGAAAAATTGAAGAATTTGTTTGGAAATTACATGATAAAAATATTAAAATAAAAAATTAGATTGTTATACCTATTTATATTTATTTACCTTCGTTGAAAATGAAAAAGTAAGAAAAGTTAATGGGAAAAATGAAAAAACCCTATCTATTAAACAGTAGATGAAGCACTACATTAAGATGAATATGGTTTTGATGATTTATAATTGAGAGAATGTAAAGAAATGTTAGAAAGAAAAGATTTCAGACTTTTACTTATTATGGATGGTTATGACGAGATGAAATTAGAAAACATTTAATAAAATTTATATATTTCGAATAAAATTTATTAAAATTGGTCAAATCCGCTTGTTATATTTACTTCAAGAAGCAAAATTTTTACTAGTAGCAATTATCCTTATTGGTTTTCATCAAAAAACAAAGAAAAAGAATTTAAAATAATTTAATTATAATAATTTGATGAAAGTTAATAATTGGAATATTTAAAAAAATATTCTAATCTAAGTGTTAAAATGCTTATTTATGAAGTCTGTAAATGGTAAATAGAAATGTTTGAAGAAAGGTAAATCAAAGTTTAAATATTTGAAAAGAATTGGGATAGGTTATAGCAAAGTTTGATTTAATAAAATTTTGAATTGATAGAATCTGAAACTCTTCTCAATTAAAAGTAAATAGAATGTATATTAAAATTTTTGGAGAACGATTAATTGTTCCGATAAATAAGCAAAGATGCTATTAGAAATTTATCTGTAAATTTACAAGACTCTGGAGTATTCAAAAGTATTAAAAAATGATGAGAATGATTAAGTTAGATAAATTAGTTGAAACTCCATATATGATGGAGATAGTAGTTTAAGTATTGCCATTAATGACAGTTGAAAACAACAGAGATTATTAATTTGAGAAAACATTTATTAAAAATTTCTCAGGAAGCTTTTATGATTTTATTTAAAGTACAAACCGAATTAAAAAAACTTAATAGTAAAAGTTGAAAAGAATATAATAAAAATCACAAAAATAAATTCAAATAGATATCTAGTTGAATTAATAGAATTAGATAAAAGATGATCAATTTAATGTTAGTGAAGCTTAAAAAAGTTTGGATAAAATTAACTACCAATAGTATGCTATTGAAATTTGGAATGAGATGGAGTAGAATTAAATTCTTCGAGATTTTTAACTTACTGATGAAATGGACGAACTTTAATATAAGATTTAAAACAATTATTAAAATTGCAATAAAGATAATAAATTTGGAGTTAAAGAAGTTATTTCAATATTAAAAATTAATGATGAAAGCATAATTTAATTGATTTGTGATGCTTTAAAGGAGTAAAATCTAACCGGTTATGATTTTTATGAAGAATTTATTAAATAATACCATTTGAAATAGATTGAAAAATATAGAAATTTAAGAAAATCTATAAGTGTCGATCGTTTTCTTCATGATCTTTTAAAATATTCTATTAAGTTGGCTAAATAAATGAGCAATAAAGATGTGACTTAAATTTAATTTAAGTAATAAGATTTGTTATATAATGATGTAGAAAAAGAAGAAGAATGAAATTTTTTAATGATGATAAAGAAAATGGACCTTATAAAAAAGATTTAAGAAGTTGTTCATTAATTTAATAAAAAGGTACAAAATACTAATTTTTACATAAATCTATTCAGGAATTTTTAATTGCAGTTGATTTATATGAACTTTTTGCTCCTGCCAAAGATTTCGATTTTGAAATATTAACGGTAATATTAGGAGCTTTGGTTCAAAAAAATGATAGTGATTATCATTAATTAAATACAAAAGAATTAATAGAGAAGCATTTTTCAAGATTGAATTTTGTGAATAATCTATTAAATTATGATAAGTAAAAGTAGTTTAATTGTTTTTAAGAAAATAGTAAAAAAATAATCGATTTCATCAAAAAATTAAAGATTCATGATTTTAATTTATTGAATTATTCAACCAAAAGTTATGGTGAGAGTAGAAAATTTTTTATATAAAAGATATTAAAAGAGGAAAAAATCATTGAGGTCTTAAAATTTTTATTTAAGCTCACTGCTAGAGATGAATAATTTATTTAGTGTGGATCTAATTCTCTAAATTTATTGGTTGAAATGAAAATTGATCTTTCGAATTAATCTTTTTAGAATATAAGGATTAGAAATACTTCACTAATAGGAGCTAATTTTGCTAAATGCGATTTAAGTTGTTCAGAATTAGAAAATGTAAAAATAAATGGTATAAATTTAAATGGGGCATTACTATTTAATTGTAAATGGATAAATCTATAGATTAATGAATTACATTAAATAAATGGACATATGGGAAGCATTTTGTCTGTGTGTTTCTCTTCTGACGGTACTACATTAGCATCAGGTAGTAGTGATACAGGTATCTGGTTATGGGATGTAAATTCAGGACAAGAAAAGAAAAGATTAAAAGGACATACCGTTTGGGTCTAATCAGTTTGCTTTTTCTCCTGATGGTATTACATTAGCATCATGTAGTAAAAATAATACAATCTGTCTTTGGGATGTAAAAACAGGATAAAAAAAAAAAGTAATTATTAGGACATAATGGTGGAATATTGTCTATATGTTTCTCACCTGATGGTTTTACATTAACATCAGGAAGTAACGGTACTTAAATTTTGCTGTGGGATGTAAAGTTAGGACAACAAAAGAAAATATTGTAAGGAGATGCTGGTAGTGTTTAATCAGTTTTTTTCTCACCTGACGGTACACTATTAGCCTCAGGGTGTGGAATTAATTCTATTTAATTATGGGATTTAAATTCTGGATTGGAAAAATTAAGATTGGAAGGACATAATGATTTCATATACTCAGTATGTTTCTTTCCTGGTGGTAATATATTGGCTTCAGGAAGTAATGATAAAAATATTAGATTATGGGATGTAAAATCAGGACAAGAAAAGAAAATTTTAGAAGGTCATACTCATGGTGTCTAGTCAATATGTTTTTCGCCTGATGGTGCAACATTAGCATCTTGTAGTAGCGATAAATCTATCTGTTTATGGGATATAAGTTCAGGATAAGAAAAGAGAAAATTTGAAGGGCATACAGGAGAAATATAAGCAATATGCTACTCTCCTGATGGAACAATATTAGCATCTGGTAGTAAAGATAACTCCATCCGTTTATGGGATGTCAAGTCTTGGGAAGAAAAGAAGAGGTCAGAGGGACATGATGATAAAGTCTTATCTGTATGCTTCTCTCCAGATGGTTCTCTATTAGAATCTGGTAGTAAAGATAATTCTATCCGTTTATGGGATATAAGTTCAGGATAAGAAAAGAAAAGACTACAAGGGCATACTGGTGGAGTTAAGGCAGTTTGCTTCTCTCCTGATAGTACTACCTTAGCATCTGGTAGTAAAGATAACTCAATCCATATCTGGGATATAAAATCAGGTGAAGAAAAAACAAAATCAGAAGGGAATAATGGTTGGGTATCTTCAGTTTGCTACTCTCCTGATGGTTCTACATTAGCATCCGGAAGTAGAGATAATTCAATTCGATTATGGGATATTAATTAAGGATTAGAGGAAAAAAAATTAATAGGTCATAATGGTGTTGTCTATTCAGTTAGCTACACTCCTGATGGTTCTAAATTAGCATCTGCTAGCGGCGATTAATCTATTCGTCTGTGGGATGTAAATATTTAAAACTAATTTGGACCGACTTATTAAAATAATTTAGATATTCATTTGCAATTTAATAGTAGCAATAATAAATCAAGTAAAAAAATTGTTATTTTTTAGATTAAGGTATTCTATCGACTATTCGAATTTCCTAAAATGAATAGTTGGAAGCATATGCTACAAAAATACTCAAAGGTCAATTTATAAATTAGTTAGGAATGAATCTCCTACAGTTATTTTAATAAAAAGGAAGTGTTATATTAGATAATGATATAGAATTCATGTAAAATGAATAAAAAGTTTGATTAAGATAGATAAATATTATTTAAAATTATCACATACTGATTAATTGTTAGAAAATATTATTTTTATAATTTTTTGTCAATATATCCTGAAGTAGACTATTAAATTATTTTCATAATTGTATAAGATTTTGTCCAAAAATATTGATTATTTTAAATTATATTTTAAATATTTTACAAAATTTTCTCCATTTTAAGAAAAAAAAGGAAAAATTAAAAAGAGTAATAAAAATCGAGAAATCTACTGTATTTAAAAATATAAATATAGAAAAAGTGCAACTTTAAAATCAAATAAGTTAAAAACAGTATTTCAATCATCTTATGTTCCTCTTATATATTAAATTTAAAAAAACATTCACAAAATATCTTAAAATGATAATTATTATATTTGAACCAACTAATTCGTGCTATAATAAAATTTTCTAATATATAGTATTTATAAATATCAGAATCAAATTAGACATAGATATCAGAATTATTTGCTATTTTATTTGGTATTCTTATTCTTAAATGAAAAAATTTAAGTCATTTTACAAATTATCAAAAAATAGTTTCTCAAAACTCTTTAAATAATCTAAAAAATCTTCAAATCTTTTGATAATTGGGCAACAAGATCTTAACCAAATTTATACATCAAGATCTGAATAATTTATTCTCAAAAACAATTACAGAATAAAATTTTATTTGATATTATTTTTTAAATACTATTTGAATAGCTATATCATTGAGATATACTGAGATTAAAACACGAAATATGAAATAGTCAATATTTTTACTCCAATTTCTAATTTTAATTTAATAAGTATAATGTGAAACCTTAATCTATTCTAAACTTAATTGATGATGTAAGAATAATTATTCTATTTAATGATTTTTTCATTAATTTTTTGATTAGAATCAAACATAGGTTTTCTATTATTAAATTATTCATAATTCAAAATCTCACGGAATTCTTTCTAAAAACTCTTTAAAGAGAAAAAAATGAAGAACTTTATTTTTAAATTTGCAAAATTATTCACCTCTAATTATGTTAAAATGAGACTTATAAATGATGATAGTGAAATTTTATTTTTGAAAGAAGATAATTTAAACTAATTAACATATGTGTTACTTCAAAGACGAAATCTAAAACAACTAAAATGCAAGCAAAATCAATAAAAAAAAAAATTAAAAATCAATAAAAAAATCTAATAGAAATTAAAGAAAAAAGAATATAGATTGGCAATATAATTTTATCAAGGTACTTTATCTATAATCGAATATAATTTTAGATGATTGATATTTGAAACAGAAAGATTAGCAATTATATTATTTTACGCTATCGCTAAACCCTAAAATCTATATTTTGATTTATCCTTTAAGTTATATATTTTTTATTTTTATCTTGATTTCTAATTTTATTTTTTCGTTATAATAAATATGCTTTTTTTCCTTATAAATTTATATAATTTTTATTAAGGATCATTATTTATAGATTATATTGTTTGGTTTTAAAAATGTAGATTTGCTTATAATTCGAATAAACAAACTACCTTATTGTCCTTATGAATTTTGTATTAACATTGCGTTACTTTTTTTTTTAAAGAATTTGTGAAGAATTCCAATTAGATAAGTGAGTTAAAAAAAGGTAAATAATTATCATATAAACTAAAGAATTAATGCATGAATATGGATAATTTTAGTGATAAATAAGTGCAATAAGTTAAATCAGTTATATTTTTATATATTATATAACATATGAACCTGAAAATTTGATTATAAGTAAAATAAAATTAGAATTAACTCAGAGTAAAATCCAGAAAAATAAATATTTGTAAGACTCTTAAATTTTTAACATAATAAACATTATTATTAATTAATAATGAGTCTTCTAGTGAAACATATCAAAAAGATAGATTTTTTTGGAGCTCCTTTAGTATAACAAATAGATTCAGAATAATCCATATACAAAAGCATCTTAGGTGGGATTATTACCCTACTTATTTGTTCAGCCAGTGTATTGTATACAGCATGGGTGATATATTTATGGCATACAAATTAATTTAGCCCTAAAATATCAAGTTCTATGCATGTTTCAAATTTTGAGTTATTGGACATTAACTATGATCTGGTGAAAATTTGTTTTTATAAATATGAAGAAAACTTGATAGATCCATTCGAATCCAAAGTACTTTTGCCTTTAATCATGTACACTGAAAATTATACATTTACGGAAACAGCAGTATTGAATTTAACTAATTAAACAACTTATTATGGAAACAAATATTTAATCCCATAAATGAAATTGGGTTTTACTAATATCAATGGTG